AGATCAGCCTGCGGACTGAAGGGTCCCGAGTTTGATTTTGACCAAGGGCACATGCCCAGGTTGCAGGCTCGATCCCCAGTAGGGGACATTTATGAGGCAGCCAATCCATGATTCTCTCCCATCATTGATGTTTCTAGCTCTCCCTCCCTCACCCTTCCTTTCAGAAATCAATAAAAATATATAAAAATAATAACAAAGTAAAATTGTTTAAAAAAAGTTCAATTCTATTATTTTTCAATCACAAGTTGTTATATAAGAAATATTTGCATGTCATCTATATGCCAAGCACTTTGGTAGGTACTTTTAAGAGATGTAGAGACAAACATCACTGCTCCTCCAGGGTGCCTAAATCAGCAGATTAATAAGCAGGGCCTTGGTGGCATGAAAATGGTTCTGAAACCACTTCAAGAACTTAACTTAAATCTTGCATTGAGATGATAAGACTATATAAATCAATTTAGAAGAGTATCCCAAAACATAGGTTATTTGCGGGGTGGGGGGGGGGGGATTATGTGGGAAACAAGTTATAGAATTTTCTCTCTTGTAGTTCTTCTCTATACATGGTAAAGTCCCAACAGGAGAACCAGATATTTCTCAAACTTATACAACCATGAAATCTTTTTGTCAAGAAGCATTTCAGAGATTCCCAGTACAGTAGAATGAGCTTTTGGGAAACCTGGTGTAGACTACCCTGATAGAGAGCACAAAGGAAGAGGAACAGCTGAAAGATCGTGGAAAAATCACCCTAAAAGAATAAGTCAAATGTCCCAAGGAAGTCCTTAACCAAGAGAGCCAGGGGATCACTCTTAAGCTGCTTAATCATAAGGAGATCTGCGCAGAGAAAAGGAATGAGAAATAACACATAACCAGTACCACTGGGTGCACCCTGTGCTGAACAATCCTAGAAGAACATTATCAGCAGCAGCATGAGTATTACTGTAGAGATGTGAAAACTAAGTCCCAGAGAAGTTGATTCATTTCTTTTTTTTATTGATTTATTGCTTAAAGTATTACAAAGGGTATTACATATGTGTCCTTTTTTCCCCCGCCCTTGACAATCCCCTGGCCTCCCCTACCCCCCAGTGTCTTATGTCCATTGGTTATGCTTATATGCATGCATATAACGTCACAGTGCAAGGAGCTGAACTGAGCCCTGACTCAAAGACCTGAGTTCTTTCACATTCTCATCATGCATAAAATAAAATCACAGCTTTACAGTCACACAACCTGTACAACAGCCGTGATGGTGGTTTTCAAACCTTGCTCCTAAGCAAGCTCTCAGAAATAACTCTTTATTTATACCATGAAAGATTTAGTTTTACCATATGCTTTGGAAGGGCAGATCTGAAGTATGTTTCTACCCAGTAGTCATGAACTATGTTTCTACCCAGTAATCATGAACTCATGCAATGGCTACCACAGGCAAAACTTCTCAAATAAGTGAAACCCTATAAAGGTAGGTGGTAACTTTTTAAAATTAAAGTTAGTAACATAGAATTATCTAAAAGTGAAAAATGAACCAGATGATGCCCAGGATCATGAAGTGATCATAAATTCTCAAGGTACAGTTTGCGAAAGAAAGGGCACACTTGGACAAAATTAAAGAATTTTGCTGTGGCTATTTATCAATGACACAAAATAGTGAACCCACCAGGAATATTCAATGCGGGAAGCCACCACTTGCCAATACTATCATGAGAGTGCACCAAGGAACGCAGAAGGCCGATGGACCTTGAGCGTTAGAAGGGCTGACACTAAGCACCGATTGTTGGTGTTGAGATAGTGGTGGCTCGAAGCAATTTCCTGACCTGATAGCCTCCAAGTAAATGTTTACTGGACCTTACTGATCTTTACTGATCTTTACTGTCTGCTACCTGTTTGCTGTGCTTTACTGAGGGCAAGATGTGTATCTAAAACTGAATAAAAGCAGACAGGACCCAGTTTCGGTGTGTCTCTTCAAGAAGGAGGCTCCACCTGGCCTCCAATGCCTTCTAAATTCATATTTTTTATGTAGTATTTTCATTTGTGCGTCAGCCCCTCCTTCAGATCCTAAACCCTGCCACAAAGGTCTTGGCAGTTCAACCTGCCACCACTCTCCTACCAGAGATTTTAACAGAAAAGTCAACCAAATGCATTGACTTTGTGTAGAAAAAATATAAACATAAGACTCCTGAAATGGATTCATTCACATAATCAACAAACCTGTTTTTGATAAGGGGAATCTGTATGTTAGTTGCTACACATCTTGAAAATCTGTTCCCAAGACCAAGCCCTGTGTCCTCTCTATAGTACAGCACTCCGCAACAGCAGGCATGCAATTAGGAACTCCATACTCTCCCACTTACAAGCCTTGGGACTCTGGTCTAAAAAATGTCAACCTCCAACCAAATTATTGTAGGTGGTAAGAATCCCTTTTGCAGGTCAGAGAATTGAACAATTAAGGTTCTCTGAATTTAGGGTCTCTGTTTATTGGATCATGTTATTTCTTTAAACTCTCTGAAAACATTCCAAAAAATTAAATGTGATATGTATCAATTCTTATATTTGGTCACATAATTAATCACTTTTCCCTTGTCCTTTACCCATGAAATCTTTCTTATTCTAGAAGGGCATGCTGAAGAAGTCCTGAAACACGCTAGCTTGGCCATGAGCTGTAAGTGGAGAAAGAAACTGTAACAGGCAATTGAAGGCTGCCAATGGAAATCACATACTAAGAAATGAACATCACCACAGGAGTCCTCCCACCCATTCACTGCCTTCCAGAAGTCCTGTGCCTTCGTTGCTTTGTAGACTAAAACAGGTAGAGATGATATCCTGGGAGTGCCCACGAGGACGGCCAGGCCAGGTTACTGTCAGTTTTATGCGCAGCTTCTGTGCGGACTGGTTGGTGTTGCTGTGATCTAGTTACTGTATTTTCAACATCTCCCAGAGAACAGGGGTTAATGAAAGCATAAAGGAGCCAGGCCAGTGAAATGGCCCAGAGCAGGACAGTGGCAAACCAGAAAACAAGTGTACGAGTTGAAGTGGATACCTGCTACTCAACCCTGTAGGTTGAAGACATACAGGAAAATAAGCCCACTGTTGACACATTTTCCTTTAAAACAAACAAACAAAAAACCAGCTAGAAATCCCTGCATATTTTAAAATATTTACTCCTAATTCAATCTTAAAATGTTGTTTGCCAACAGAAACTAGAATACGAGTTGCCAGTTTCCTGTTGAGGGGTATCTGTGACTGCTAAACAGTTCTGGACTACAGTTAACTGTACAAACTGGGAACCAGGCCCTGCCCTGGTGGCAGTGGTATGCCATGGCAATTAAGTATAAATCACAGGTATGTGATTTCAGCAATTAGTTATAAATCACAAATATGGGACAAAAATATTCTTTATAGTTTACTGGAAATAGCATTTAAAGAGCAGATAATTCTTTCAGAGATACTTGACACTTAAGATACAATTAGAAACATTTTTTTTAACCTTTACTATTGCCAGTCATACCTTGTTCTGATTTTATCTTAAATAGAGATCACAATTCCAATATACTTTTTTCTTTTCCATTTACTCTTCTCTTTCCCTTCTCCAAACTTCCCTTCATTTGAGATGGAAGATTATAGGACTTTTATGGAGATGACACAAACTAATATATGTAATGTCTAAAACAATGACCAGCACAAAGTAAAAACTCAAAAATTGTAAGCGCCAGCTATATCTATGAATATTATTTAGTAGTCAAAGTCCTCAACAGGGCTGGTCTACAGCCTGTGGAAAGCTAGTGTTAACTCTTCAAACCAAGTTGCTACATAAAATGTCTGCTCACAGAACCACTCTGTACCTACTCGAGTTAGCAACCTGTTTCTTAAATTAATCCCAGTTCAGCTCCTCTGAGACAGCCGAGAATCTTTTGCACATCAGAACACAGATAAAGAAAGAGAGGTCTCTGTAGAGCATTTTGCAACAAAGGAGGTAAGGGCCTCCACCTCTCTTTTTCCCTTAGGAGACCGAGGTACTTTTCCACCTTTTTGTTTCTTTGTGAAATAGACTCATTCCCTCTTCCGAACTACTTAGACCCAGCTGGATGAGGGTGGCATGAATTTATATACTATATGACTTAATGATAGTTTCGCTACTTGCAATGGCTTCATGTATATTCTAACACGTTGTCTCAGTTACTGTAAAAATGCATTATCACTTACTGAAAAGGAGAATATCTGATCCACTATGTTACTGAATTAGCAAGTAATCAGTTAATACTAAACACCAAGTTTTATTTAAAGTTTGCTACTGTCCTCTCCTGAGGGACGGAGTCCACCCAGTCATCAGTGAGCTAGAATCGGTGCTTGATTCGATATTCACTTATTTGAAATTAAGACGCTGAAACTTCCTGTTGCAGGCACAGCAAGCAAACACCAAAAATAAGGGGTTGACAATTAGATGGTGGAGGAAATGATGCCTCAGTCTTTCTGAGCTTCGCCAAAGAGGATCAAGTGAGCCATTTCCAAGCACTCCCTGGGGATACACAACTCAACACAACTCTTCCTCCTACTAGGCTCACTTCCTTAATGCCTTAATCTGCATGACATCATATCGCAGGCATGTGCTAACAGGCAGACAAATACAAACACATGAATGGAAGTAAGCCAAACAAAATAATTTACACTGTGCCTACAAAAAATAACTATTTAAATACTTCTTATAAACAGCAAAAGGCTAAATACTCCATCATCTTTCCTGCTTTACAAATAAACCCATCATTTTTCCTGATCAAATTCTTCTCTCATGCTAATGCGTTTGTGGTATTTTTTAAAAATAGGAATTGAATTATATTAAAAACAGAGTCCAAGGCTTTCATCCCCAGGACAGACTCAGTGCCCACTGGCAAGTGCAAGCTACAGGTGCTGTCCAGGTAAATATGCCTTCAAAAGGGAAATGTTTACTTCAGCACATGAGGAAACTAAGAATCGACCTCAGTAATCAGTTCAATAGAATCAAAGAGACATACCTGTAGGTTTTCAATTTCTTCTTTGTGCTCCCTCTTCAAGTGTAAAATAGCAGCTTGGTATTCTGCAAGATCACAAAAGAAACCAATTACAAAGAAGCACGAAATGATATACAAAATTCCAAGTGAGCATCTCCAAGATTCTAGAGGTGCTTCTACAAGTAAACTGACTGAATAATAATAATAATAAAAACACACACAGAAAACCTGAGTAAATAAATGCACAATTGGATATTCACTTGACAAGAGATGTTGTAAACTGAGACAAGACAAGACAAGGAGCTCAGGATAAAAGGAAGATTTTGTTCCATTTAGAAAACTTTGAATTATCATAAGCTCCAAATTAGGCAGATAGGATAGGGTTAAAAAAAAAAATAGCTTGATGAGTGTTCCAGATAAAGACTGGGTCAGGGTTTGTCTTTAAGGAGGAGTTGGAAGTTAAGGCCCCACAGAGAACAAACACAGATGTGTTAAGAACAGACACACAGGAAATAAAACTTTCTATGTGAGATCAGAGAATTCAATTTTTAACTCCCCCATTCACCCCCCCCCCAAAAAAAAATCTCCATTTGAATGCAAGGCTAAGCAAGCACCCAGGGCTGATTTTAATCTTTAGATCAACTTCATAAAGTCAAGACCATTTGTCATTTGGGTGAGAGAATAGAATGTAGGTTAAGTTGAAGTTGAAAGGGGGACAAAAATAAAATCCTGGTCCAATTTTAGTCTGAGTCTAATAATGTTTATTCCAACAATAAGTCCCAAGTGTACACAGGAACTGCAGCCAACCACTAAAACGACCATTCCCTGGCTAAGCATGAAGCAGCTATGACAACTTGATTCCCAGCAATACGGCTAAGTATGTGGGGTCACAGAACTATGCAGGCTGCAGAGAACCACAGAGCAAAATGCTGTGAGAAAACGTTTTTGTGGCATAAGCCAGATTTTTACAAATGGGTTTGGGTTGTGAGTATGAATAAGAAAAATGTCAGTTAGATGTCATTTTAAGATGTATGAAAAGACAGGCTATTTCGTCAAGTGAATTTCAGAATGAAAGGCTAGGTTTCAGTTCAAAAGTGGATGTGGGAAATCTTTGGTAAAGCCATAATGGAGAGAAGTGTTGCTGTTGATAATTATGACTAGTCATGCCACTGCTTTTGTGGTCCACTGAGCTGGGAATCCATCAGCAAATTTTAAGGTTTCTACATCCAGACCATGCCTTGAATCAAATCACTTCTACCATCCCATAACCACCACTATGGTCCAAGCCACCAGCATCTTTTCCCTGGACCACTCAAGTAACCTGAAAAGGTTACTGCTCTCTCTTACCACTACCAAAACCCATTCTCCTCACAGCAGCCTGAATGATCTGTTAAAGGAACGAACCAGATTATCACCCATCTCTGGGTTTCCGCTGCACACAGACTGAAATAAAAACTCCCTCCTACAGCCCATAAGGCCCTTTGGAACCTGATTCCTACATACCTCTTCCTGTCTTCCTTGCTCACAACACTCCAGGCACACTGGCCTTCTTACTATTCCTTGAACTTGTCAACTTCTTTTCTATCTCAAAATCTTTACTAATATTGGGGACAATAATAATGAATGTTATTTGTTGAGCACTTACAATATACCAGGTATTACCTAAGCACTTCACATGCATTAACTCATTTTCATCCCCACAATAATCCTATGCTGTGGATACATTTTCCTCACTGAAAAGGAAGAAACTGAGTAAATTACAGAGCCAGAAGACATACATAATTCAACGAGTGAATGTATAAACAAGCTGTGATACGATAAAATGGAATACCACGCAGCAACAATAAAGAATGAACTATGAATACGTACATCAACATAGATGAATCTCAAAGGCTTTATGTAGAGTGAAGGAAGTCAGTCTCAGAAGGCTAACGATTGTTTAATTCAATTTGTATGACATTCTGGATGAGACAAAACCATAGGGGTGAAGAACATATCAGAGAAGAAGTGGCTAGAGGTTAGAGATGAGGGAAGGTTTCATTACAAAGAGTCAGCACAGCACAGCCGGTGTGTCTCAGTGGTTGAGCATCAACCCATGAACCAGGAGGTCACAGTTTGATTCCCGGTCAGGGCACAAGCCTGGGTTGCGGGCTCTATCCCCAGCAGGGGTTGTGCAGGAGGCAGGCTGATCAATGATTTTCTCATATCATTGATGTCTCTCTCTCTCTCTCTCTTTCTCTCTCTCTCTCTCTCTCTCTCTCTCTCTCTCTCTCTCTCAAATCAATAAAAATATATCAAATATTCTTTTAAAAATAAAGAGTCAGCCCAGTTGGCGTGGTTCAGTGGTTGAGCAACAACCTATGAACCAAGAGGTCACGGTTCAATTCCCGGTCGGAGCACATGCCCAGGTTGTGGGCTCGATCCCCAGTGTGGGGCATGTAGGAGGCAGCCAATTGATGATTCTCTCTTATTGTTGATGTTTCCCTCTCTCTATCCCTCTCCTTTTCTCTCTAAAATCAATAAAAATATATCTACATATCTATATATATATATGTATATTGTAAGTGCTCATATATATATATATATGCGTAATATGCAAATTGTCCCCTCAGGAGTTCAACCAGGAGACTGGGAGTCTGGGAGTTCAATCACTTGCTATGATGTGCACTGACAACCAGTGGGGCAGTGTGGAATGAAGGAAGGCTCTGGCCGGCAGCCAGCAGCTAGGGAAGGGAGGCCCCGGCCGGCAGCCAGAAGGAAGGTCGCAGCTGGCAGCTGGAAGGCCCCGATCAGCCCTAATCACTGGCCAGGCCTAGGGACCCTACTCATGCAAGAATTTCATGCACTGGGCCTCTAGTGTGTGTGTGTGTGTGTGTATATGTATATACATATATATATATATATAAAAATAAAAGAGTCAGCACAAAAAAGGCCGTTTGGGTGCTATCACTATTTTCTATCCTGACTATGATGGTGGATACATGAATCTATACATGGGTTAAAAATTAGAGAACTGTACACCAAAAAGAAAAAAAGTGAATTCTATAGTATGTTAATTTTTTAAATCTATACCAAATATTACACTTTTAAATATTTTTCCTAGGAGATTCAGCATAACACAAAAATACATGTTACTACCACTTCTAATCTTTGTTTTCCTAAGGGAACTATCAGGTGCAGTAGGGCAAGAAAAAAAAACAAACATGCTCATGCACACATGGCATACACATGTATATGTATGTACATATATAGAAAGGGGAAAATAAAGTTATTATTCACTATGATTGTATATTTAGAAAATTCCAGGATTCTCTTAGAATATTAGATTTAATATATGAGTTTAGTAGGGTTGCTTGATTTAAAATCCATATATAAAAATTCTGATACCAGTAAGAGTATAAAAAATTAAACTTAAGATAACTTATAGTGCCCTTACTTAATACAATGTACTTAGAAATAACCTTAACAAAAATATGTAAGACCTCATGAGAAACCAGAAATGCTATGTTGAAATATATTACAAATGAAAATATAGACAGGTAGTGGGGCAAGCCATATTTTGGTAAAACTCGATATTGTAAAGATGTTGATTTTCTCAAATTGATCTATGGATTCAGTGCAATCCCATTCAACATTTCTAATCGTTTTTGTTTTGTTTTGAAATTGAGGAGCTCAATCTAAATATTGGTTGAAGCACAGAAGTGCAGAAAAAGCAATGAGCAAAAAAAACATTGAAAAATAAATAAAAGGTAAGATGAATTATTTTTAATTATCACCACATAATTAAAGTGGTGTGATACTGGCACAGGGATAATAAATAGACTAAAAGAATAGACTAGAGAGCCCAGACATAGACCACGAATCTATGGTCACTTGGTATATGACAGAGTTGCATGGGAGATATTTGTTTACAGTAAGAATTGTCTTTTCACTAACTATCAATTGGGAAAAATAAATATTTACATGGAAAAACATAAAACTGGACTCCAAATTTACACCATATAATAATCTATTCTAAGTTGATTAAGAGCTAAATTATAAAAAACAAAGGCATCATCCTATCTAATAAAAGAGAAACATGGTAATTAGCGTACGACCACTACCCTTCCCATTGGCTAATCAGGGTGATATGCAAATTAACTGCCAGTCAAGATGGCGGCCGGCAGCCAGGCAGCTGGAAGCTAACATGAGGCTTGCTTGCTTCAGTGACGGAGGACTCCAACATTCCCTGCCTGTCACTGCCAGCCTCTGAGCTGAAACTCTAAGCAACTATGTTACAAATATAGAAGCTAAACAAAACCCCAGAAACCTGCTTTAGTCGCAGGGCTTCAGCCAGCAGGATCGCAACATTGTTTCAAATACAGAAGGTAAACAAAGGCCAGAAACCTGCTTTCAGCAGCGGAGGCCTAAGAGCTGGAGTCTCAGAGCTAAAGCTGGCCCAGAATAAAAACAAAAGAAAAAAAAAGGAGCGGTTGGGAGCTTCAGTCAACCACCAGCCTGAAAACAGCCCTCGGCCCTTCACCCAGACTGGCCAGGCACCCCAGTGGGGACCCCCAACCTGAAGGGTGTGTGACCAGCTGCAAACAGCCATCATCCCCTCACCCAGGCTGGCCAGGCATCCCAGTGGGGACCCCCACCCTGATCCAGGACACCCTTCAGGGCAAACCAGCCGGCCCCACCCATGCACCAGGCCTCTATCCTATATAGTAAAAGGGTAATATGCCTCCCAGCACCGGGATCAGTGGAGCCGCGAGGCATCCCGGCACCAGGATCAGCGTGACAGGGGGCAGCGCCCAAACCCCCTGATCGCCCTGCGGCTCTGTGTGTGACAGGGGGCGGGGCCACAACTTCCCTATCCACCCTGCTCTGTTCGTGACAGGGGAAGGCGCCCCAACCCCCTGATCAGCCCTGCTCTGTGCCTGATAGGGGGGAGCTCCCCAACCCGCTGATCACCCTGCGGCTCTGTGTGACAGGGTGCGGCACCCCAACCCCTTGATCGGCCCTGCTCTGTGTGTGACAGGGTGCGGTGCCCCAACACCCCCCCCCCGGGCCCTGCTCTGTGTGTGATGGGGTAGAGCCATAACCT